CGCTCTGACAATTGCCGGTTCTCGGCAGTACTTTCCTCACGATCTGACAGCGTGAGGAAAGTGCAGCCGAGAACTGGCAATTGCATTTCCCGGTGATCAGCGTGTCATTGGACATGGCTGATCACGAGGTAAAAAGCCGCTGTGATTGGCCTTTTACCACATCACGTGGTCAGCTGTGTCCCTAGGACACAGCGATCATGAAGATCGCCAGGTGCGTGCCCCAGGGGGCACGCAGGAGAGCGTGTTTCTGGGAGGACGTCATATGACGCCCACCCAGAACTGGCCGTCCGCAGTGTAGCTGTCATTCAGCTATTTGAGGTCGGCAGGTGGTTAAACAGCAGAACCAGCTCACCCACCTACCCCCAGCCTGTGACTGGACAGTAAAAGAGCAGAGGCAGACTAATTAAGACATCCCTGCACTCCAGAGGTTGTCAAACTATGGCCCGTGGGCCAGTCCTGCCGCGTGGCAAATTGTACCCAGCTCACAGTAGGGTCAGTGGTCTCTCACACAGGTCTTCAGGTCAGTCTATGGTCTGCGTTTCTCCTCCATCCTCCCTCCTCCGCTTTCCAGGACAGTTGTCATTGTGCAGTCGTTGGTTCTAACAAGCAGGGGTGGACTGACAACTCATGGGGCCCCCGGACAATAGGGGATCATGGGGCCCCTGTGTCCTTGCCCAAACTCAAAAAAAAGCCTATGAAAAAAGGTACCAGGGGCATCTCATGGGGCCCCCTACTGATCCCAGGACCCTCGGGCAGTGCCCGAGTTTCCAAATGGTCAGTCCGCCCCTGCTAACAAGCAATCACAATAGTCCCAACATTCAGATGAGGATGACCCTTCCTCTGTCCACACCTGATGGGGAACCTGATGTAAGGGGGGATTCTAATATGGACTCTGATGTATGGTGGACTCTGGTGTAAAGGGACACTGATGGGGGTCCTAATATAAGGGTGGATTCTGATGAGTACCCTGATCTAAGGGCAGACTTTTATAGGAATTATGATATAAGAGGGACTCTGATGGGGACCTTAATTATAATGGTGGATTCTGATGGGGGCCCTAATAAAGGGTGGAATCTGATGGGGGCCCTAATAAAGGGTGGATTCTGATGGGGGCCCTAATATAAGGGTTGACTCTTAAGGGGACTGTGATATAAGGAGGACTCTGATAGGGACACTGATGTAACGGGGGAATCTGATGGGGACGCTGATGTATAGTGGACTCTGGTGTAACGGGACTCTGATGTAAGGGCGGACTTTTATGGGGATTGTGATATAAGAGGGATTTTGATGGGAACCATAATATAAGGGTAGATTCTGATAGGGGCCTAATATAAGGGTGGACTCTTATAGGGACCCTGATGTAAGGGTGAAATTTTATGGGGACTTTGATATAAGGCAGACTCTGATGGGGACCCTGATGTAAGGGAGGACTCTGATGGGGACCCTGATGTAAGGGGAGACTCTGATGGTAACTCCTATGTATGGTGGTCTCTGGTGTAATAGGGACTCTGATGGGGACCCTAATATAAGGGTGGATCCCAATGAAGATCCTGATGTAAGGACAGACTTGTATGGGGATACTGATATAAGAGGGACCCTATTGGTCCCCCAACATAAGTGTGGACACTTATGAGGACCCTGATGTAAGGGTTTAGTTTTTGGGGGACTATGATATAAGGAGGGCTCTGATGGGGATCCTGATGTAAGAGAGGACTTTGATGGGTTCTCTGATGTAAGGGGGGACTCTAATGGGGACCCTGATGTAAGTGGGATCTCTGATGTAAGGGAGGACTTTGATGGGGACCCTGATGTAAGGTAGGACTCTGATGGGGACCCTGATGTAAGGAGGTACTCTGCTGGGCTCAAGTTTATTTGGAATTTCTTCTTGTTTTACTGAATTTCTTTCTCTGTTGTCCTGAATCATATGATACTGATTTCCAAAAAGTTTCAGCAAAGCTTATTCATTCATTTACAATTGATTTGTTCATTTATAAACCTTTTTTTTGTACAAATCTTTGTAATATACAGTATACTATGTGGCCCTCAGAGTGAAAAGTGTGGAGCCCCCTGCTCAATTCTCTCATCCTGTCTACATCTTCTTAGCAGGGGTGGACTGACAACTCACGGGGCCCCTGGGCAATAGGGGATCATGGGGCCCCTGTGTCCTTGCCCAAACTCAAAAAAGCCTATGAAAAAGGTACCAGGGGCATCTCATGGGGCCCCCTACTGACCCTGGGCCCTCGGGCAGTGACCGAGTTTCCAAATGGTCAGTCTGCCCCTGGAGACAATACAGTAACAAGACAGTTCAATACAAGAGGGTTAGGAGGGCCCTGCTCCTTGGAGCTTACAATCTAAGAGGGAGGGGCTAGTGGTACAAAAGGTAATAACTGTGGGGGATGAAAAAGGTACCAGGGGCATCTCATGGGGCCCCCTACTGACCCTGTGCCCTCGGGCAGTGCCCGAGTTTCCAAATGTTCAGTCCGCCCTGCTGCTTAGTTAACATATTGATCAGATCAGGACATCTCATTGGCCCCAAGCACCGCCCCTCCCTCTCCCAATCTGAGTACTGTTGGACAGGGAATGAAAAAGCTGAAATCAGGACAAATTCTTGTATTTAGATTTGTTGCATTTAAAATACAGTTAAATCTCGGAGCATACCCACATGCCCTCAGTACTCTGGTGTTGGAGGGGCTCCTCCCAAAGCACCTTGTCCCCATGTTGATGGGGACAAGGGCCTCTTCCCCACAACCTCGGGTGGTGGTTGTGAGGGTCTGTGGGCAGCTGGCTTATCAGAATCTGATGTAGTGATGAGCAGGGGCGGACTGACCATTCGAGCAATCAGGCACTGCCCGAGGGCCCTGGGTCAGTAGGGGGCCCCATGAGATGCCCTTAATACCTTTCACAGGCTTTTTTGGGTGTGATTTGAGTGTTGGTGAGGACACAGGGGCCTCATAATTTCCTATTGCCTGGGGGCCCCATGAGTTGTCAGTCCGCCACTGGTGATGAGCAAACTGAGCGTGTTTGCTAGATGCTTGCTGAACAATGTGAAACAATGAACGATGGAAAAATGTGAACCATGAACATGGCAGCGAACCCCATTACAGTCTAGCTTAGTGATGCTGCCACCAAATGAATATTGTCCATCTGCAGCAGCTCAGAGATTGGCAAGTGGTTGAACTGGCTATTTATTCTGCCCATTTGGTGAACGGCCAACGTGTCAAGTTTGGGTAAAACTCTACATGGCTGTGAATCTCATCCCTAGTGCCCAGGATAAAATGCTGGAATCAAAGAAAATGTCTTCCTCTACATTAGCAGTTCGCACTGCAGGAGAAATGTCCACTAAGGGCTCATGTACACTGCAACTGATAAACCTTCAGGAGCTGTTCTGCGTTTTTTTTTTTCCGGCAGCTTCTGAACTTTCCCTAATGTTTTCCTATGTGTCCATGTACACATCATCGTTTACAGTCGTGTACAGGCATTTGAGTTTACAGCAGGGGCGGACTGACCATTGGAGTAGGGGGCCCCATTAAATGCCCCTGGTATCTTTTATAGGCTTTTTTGGGTGTGCTTTGAGTGTGGGCAAGGACATAGGGGCCCCATGATCCCCTATTGCCCGGGGGCCCCATGAGTTGTCAGTCCGCCCCTGGTTTACTGTAATTTTTTGAACGCACCAAACTTGCGTTCAGCAGTCGATTTTATCAGCATTTCAAATCAGGCATTTATAAGCGTTTGCAATTTTTTTTTAAACTCTTCCAGTTCCCGATGCTGTCCAGAGCCTTTTTTTCATCATGAAAAATGCATGCAAAGCGTTTTCAAGGTACTCAAATGGACAAAACACTGAACACAGGATGTTCCTACCAAGCTTGTCACACATTGTGATGACCAATTCACACCTCAGACCTCTCCCACCCTTGGAAACAAAAGATATGTTAATGACCACTCACACCTCAAATTCCTCATGAAGACCCCCTGCCAGGTGGCCTTAATGACTCCCTCCACCAGACAGCTTTCCCACCCTTGGAAACAAAAGAAATGTTAATGAGCAACTCACATCTAAGCTAATGTCAACACATACTGCTATCTCTGCTTCTACTCTCTGTATTTCCCTGAAACAGACTGAAATAGTTCATAATTTACCACTTTTCAGTGCATTCTGGGCATTTGGGAGGTTCTCCTGTGCTTATCTTTAAAAAACGCTTCTAAACGCAAACGCGCATAAACGCGTTATGCAAACATGGCTAAACAGACGTTTTTTAACCTACGTTTTCCAGCAGTTTCCATCGTTTAGAAGTGTCCCGTGTACATGGGACCTTACATTAATGGTCAGTGGAAAGAATGCCCTGTCACATTAGTGGTCAGGATAGTGCCTCCTGATGACTGTTTTCAGTACTAAAAATAAGCTGGGACTGTCAGATGAAAATCAGTCCATCCTGCTCAATGATGAAGACACCTCTAGCAACCTCTGAAGGAACTCCAAGGATCCATGGAACCCTGGTTACGAATGCCCTGTTACATTAGCAGTCAGTGTAGTGACTTCTGATGAGCGCTTTCAGCACCAGAACTATGTAAACAGAAAAAATGCAGCGCTAATTAGAAAACATAATAATGTCCAAAATTAAAAGTCCATATAAGTCCTCAAATAAAATACAAGAGAAAATCCTGATCTCATGAACCGTCACCATACACCCGGAAAAAAAATTGGCCCCTTACCGGACACTTTGACTGTATATCACTGGTCAGTAAGCGCAGTGTAATAACGAATCAGTATGACGAATAATCTCCAGAGCTTAAAATTTCAAGTCCTGAGCTACTAGCCAGGCCTTAAGAGTTACTCGCCACTAACAAACACACACAGAGGCACCTGTACACACACACAGACATGTACATATATACACACAGAAACATGTACACACACAGCACAGAGACACATGTACACACACACACATACAGACACATGTATACACACACAGGCACGTACAGACACACATACACACAGATACATGTACATACACAGAAATACACACGCACAGACACATGTACATACACACAGAAACATGTACATACATACACAGACACATGTACACACAGACACATGTACGTACATATACACAAACACACAGACACATGTACGCACACACAGACACATGTACACATACATGTACAAACACGCAGACACATGTAAAGATACACACATGTACATACACACAGACACATGTACATGCATACACAGACATACACAAACACACACACATGTACACACACACGCACACCCCCAGAAAAAGTTGCAGTACCTCGTTGTTCACTCACAGAGCCAGGTACTGCACTCTAGGGGGAGGCAGAGAGCACACACTCCTTCATTGGCTTTCACTGCGGTCAGCTATTGAGCAGTCTGACGGCTCCCACTGCCAGTGACAGATCCGGCCTGAGCTCCGAGCCTGCTCAGCAAGATGGCCCTAGGGGACACACTCGCCCCCACCATAATTTCTACTCGCCATTGGCGAGCAGGCGAGTGGAAATTTCAAGCCCTGCTCTAGTAGATGTCCTCTCCTAGATGCAGGATAATATCTCCGCTTTCAAAAAATCTCCAAACCGGACACTTTGACCATATAACAGCGAATGTGATGGGGAATCCGTATGGCAGATAATCTTCAATGGCAATCCTTTCACAGATACAAGATAATTTCTCCACTTTAAATCTTTCCAAACCTTAAAGAATCTCCCATCTGACAATCAGATGAGGGATAAAGAACAAAGGCAACTCATAGTGCAGTAATTATTAAAACTTTGGCAGATTTATTACAAGATCCACGTACATCAAGACTTAAAATAACCAGCAGAACTATACAGGTATTATCAGGTGGAAAATAAGTCCACCCTGCTCACTTCTCAAGGAACCCCTCACAATCTCTGGACTCCAGGGATCCATGGAACTCTGGTTAAGAAAGGCTGTTCCAATCACAGGAAGTGGATGACAGAGGTTTTGAAGGAAACTCTAAAAAATATTTAAAAAGAAGATAAAGACAATCATTTTAACCTGACAAATTGTCTAACCCTTCCCCCTTTACTGAAAAAGATGCATTTTGTTGCATTCTGTGTTCTCACTGATATTACTTCCATCCATTTCTGTCCCAAGGGTCACAAACCACAGTGAAAAATAGGGCTTCTTTTAAACACCACATCCACTAAAGGTTTTATAATTAGTTACTATAATAAACTGCTTATGGATTTTCTGATAGCCTAAGTAAAGGTTGAGGACGAGTCAGAGAGAGAAGTGGGGCTCATTACTATAGAGCAATGGGAAAGTGCCCTGAACTTGCACTGAATGCAATTCACCGAGTGCCTCAACTTTAGCTCATACTGAGGGTCCATTATCCACCATAGAAATTTTGTGACAAATGGGTAAATTTGGGGCACCTACTTGCAAACGTACAGTATGCATTCAGTGCTCAGCATAAATGAATACACGCCAACAGATTTGTCAGAAAACCTTTACTTTCTTTTCAGAATCAACATTTCCTGTGGGACATTATACTACAAAATCCACCCACAAATGTGGACCATTGATTGCAAACAATATTTGTTAATTTGCACACACAAAAAAGTATTTTTCCTGACAAATTCACTCAAGACCATGTTGCATAAATGAATACACCCCAACGAAAGTCTTAGGAGCAAAGCTAAATTTTAGACAACAAAATCCTAATTAACAAGAATTCAACTACAGGTGAGTCTAATTATTCATTAAACAGGTGTCCAGCAGACAGTTGATTATAAAAGGGTGTTACTTAACAAAGAAAACCCCTCCCATTTCATGCTGTCAGCAATGGCACAACATGGAAGGGAAATGTCACAAGGCCTGAGAAAGAAAATAATTTATTTAGACAAGAAAGGTGAAGGCTACAAGAAGATCAGCAAAGCTGTTCTTATCAGTCAGAATATTGTAGCAAATGTGATACAAAAATTTAACAAAGATGGAACTGCAACCATCTCACAGAGACATCCAGGCCATCCACGGAAGTTAACACCTCGACAAGAGCATCTTCTGATGAGAAGGGTTGAAGAAAATCGCCATGCAAGTTCACTGCAGATAGCTAAAGTAGAAAGCCAAACTGGGGTGATTGCTTCCTGTGACACATACGGTGTACACTGCAGAGGAATGGCATGCATGCGTATCGTCCACAAAGGAAGCCTCTCTTAAAGCCCATACACAAAACCCCCACTAGAATTTGCCAAGGCCCATGCTGGAAAAAGAAATAGACTAGTGGGACTCTGTACTCTGAAGTGGTGAGACCAAGATAAATGTTTTTGGAACTGATGGCTTCAAAACTATGGTGCCACAAAGGTGAGGAGTACAAAGAAAAATGCATGGTGCCTACAATGAAACATGATGGTGGCAATGTCCTTCTGTGGGGCTGCATGAGTGCTGCTGGTGTTGGGGAGCTGCATTTCATTGATGGTATCATGAATTCACAGATGCACTGCTCTATATTGAAAGAGAAGATGCTACCATCACTCCGTGCCCTTGGTCGTCGTGCACTTTTCCAACATGACAATGATCCAAAACACACATTTAAGGCCACTGTTGCAGTTCTGAAGAAGAACAGGGTGAAAGTGATTCAGTGGCCAAGTATGTCTCTTGATCTGAACCCAATCGAACACCTATGGGGAATTCTGAAGATACAAGTTGAGCATTATTCTCCATCCAGCATCCAGGCTCTAAAAAGAGGTTGTTCTTCAAGAATGGAAAAAGATCAATGTTACAATATGTCGCCAACTTGTTCATTCCATGCCTAGAAGATTTGGTGTTGTCCTTGCAAATCATGGAGGTCATACAAAATACTAGATGGAGGAGTTTTTGTTGTGTGGTGGATTCATTTTTTCATCAACCAATTGGAGTAAAACTGAAGATTTTGTAAGCTAAATTATATTACTAACCTTACTTTCATGTAATCAGCTAAACAAATGTTCTATATATGTGGTTGAGTTTTTCTCCTGCCTCCTTTTCACCCCACACTTCTTTTGCTCTTCACTATTCCCATCTCATTAGACACGTAACACTAACATGTCATCTAATTTTCATAGTAAAGATCATCATAATTATCTTATTTCCTCTATATTTGTTCATTTATACATTCGATCTTCCAATTATTTACCTTTTCACTTCCCCCCCTCCAAAAAGGTGAAATACAGTATTTCCCAAGAGCTGTTGTGAAAATGGTTGTATCACCATTGCTTTTTTGTGTCTGTGCGTTGCATGTCCACCACACCAATGTTGCCTGTCTTTGATTCCGCATGCCTACACACATGCTATTTCTATAATGTTAGGCTCCACCTAGGTTCCAAGTGATCCATCTCCTCTGGCCAGACGAAAGACAAAATTTGTCTTGGAACGTGGGTGGAGCCTAATGTGACGTCACCACGCTAAGCGGCCATCAGCTGGAATGAATGCTACATTGAATTGGGATTGCTGCATCTCCGGTATTGTCTGGTGGCCAGGAGCGGACTGCCCATTTGGAAACTCAGGCACTGCCCGAGGGCCCGGGGTCAGTAGGGGGCCCCATGAGATGCCCCTGGTACCTTTTTCATAGGCTTTTTTGAGTTTGGGCAAGGACACAGGGGCCCCATGATCTCCTATTGCCCGGGGGCCCCATGAGTTGTTAGTCCGCCCCTGCTGGTGGCTATTTGTTTTTAACTAAATGTAAGTGCAACATTTAATTTTTAAATACATTCTTATATAAGGCCATACTATAATATTAGCCTTTATATTTTTCATGTTCCTACTGCCTGGAAATGAGGCTGGACTGGAAACGAGAGTCAGAGTATTGCTGTACCATCTATTGTGGATGTGTTTGGGGTTACCCCTAAATCACTGCTGGCTTTCAATTAGTTTGAAAGCCCAACAGCTCTGGTAAGAGCTCCTACTCACCTTTGTTGTCATCAGGAACTTTGGGGTGTCACTTCTTCCTCTGATGTCATTGGATGAGTGGGTGCTTTTTCTCCCTTTAATTCCTGTAAGCACTTTGTACTGTGGACTTTCATTTGAACACATTTACATATGGTGGACTTTATCTTCAATTATCACTTTATTTTTATTGTATCACTATGTTTTGTTTAGCTCTGCACTTTTTGTATTACGTGTTATGGATGACCTGACTGTAGATGAGGTTTCAAAATCTGCTTCCTCTAGGGCAGGCTTTCTCAACCTTTTTAACCCAGAGGAACCCTGGATATAACTTTCCAGTCTCGGGGAACCCCTGCTAAAAACATTTATATCTACAACTCATAAAACAACTCATAATACATTAATGTGATCAGTGAGAAAAATGCTCTTTACACTTGTGGTCATTGGGAAGAATTATCCCCTACAGATAGCCAAAAAGATTAATGGTGTCAGTGAGAACATATCTGATTGGCAGAAATTGTTCATTGCTCAAGGAACCCCTAGCAACCTCTGGAGAAACCCTAGGACTCCATGGAACCCTGGTTGAAAAACCCTGATTATTCCAAGCCTGGAAGATTATTTTACAGCACTAGAAGTTGAGTGGTCCTCCACTGCAGAAAGCTTAAATCATATGAATGAATCACAAAGGCTTGAACCCGTTATTCTTCAACTCTGAGGCTTTAATATACAATTTGAAAAACAATGGGGCAGATGGCTGAATATCCCATGTACACTTACCAGCCACTTTATTAGATACACCTTAATAGTACCAGGTTGGACCCGCTTTGCCTTCAGAACTGCCTTAATTCTTCATGGCATAGATTCAACAAGGTGTTGGAAACATTCCTCAGAGATTTTGGTCCATATTGACATGATCGCTTCACATCCATGATGTGAATCTCCCGTTCCACCACATCCCAAAGGTGCTCTTTTGGATGGAGATCTGGTGACTGTGTAGGCCATTGGAGTACTCTATTGGTGCTCTATTGGATGGAGATCTGGTGACTGTATAGGCCATTGGAGTACGAGCCCCCAGCTGTGCTCATGCGGCGATCTCCATGATCACTGTGTCACATGGTACAAGGCTGTTGTGAATAGCCTTGTACCATGTGACCTCTGTGATCATTCACAGATTTCACACGTAGTAAGCAATGATGTCACAAGTGACATCTTTCTTACTACTTTGCATGTGATCACTGATTGGCCAATCAGTGATCACATGATCGGGACCTCCTACAGAGGTACCGTCCGACGATTGGTGTTTCACTGTGTCCGGAGGACACAGCGGGCACCGGATCCTGGTGCTGCGTGCTCCCAGGGAGCGCGCACAGCTAGAAAAGGCGGGTGCCGTTTATGAACAGCAACCCGCCCCTGGAGTGCCGCCACATTGCCGTTTATCAACAGCAGGCGGACGGCAAGTGGTTAAGCAAAAATTTTGTCTTGGTCCATATCTGTTGCTCAGTCAAAATTTCAGATATTTCTTTGTAGATTTGCTGTGTTGCTATGCATTGATAAAACAGTCCTTGTCTATGTTTACTCTAAGCTGTGATCTATGGTGGGTAGACAGGCTGAAGTACGGGACAGGTCAGGGAAGCAGGAAGGATG